CTAATTTTCATGGAAGATAGTGAGGACGTTTCCTTAATGACTGGACGATGTGGGAGGTAATGAACAACGGGTAAAGACAACTCCTTTTGGGGAACTTCTTCAATCACTCCTTCCTGCAGCCATTCATTAAAGACTTCATGATACCTTTCACGATATCCAATTTTTTTCCAACTTCTTCGTAATAGATTCGAGTCTTTTCAAAGATAGGTCATAATTGTCAGGTAAGACTGCATGCTCAATCTTCCAAGGCATATCAACCTCGTATCTACCATTTTCTAATTGACGAACTGTTTCTTGGAAATGAACCATAATAGCTCTTCTTGACTCTTCTTTAGTTTTTTGTTCAACAGGATCTCGGATACCCAATAATTCTAAGTCCCACAACGATGAAATAGGCAGGTCTTCTTGAGATAACATAGAAACTATAGTCATATTTACATTGTGCTGATGTTCGGATTGAAGTACTTTACCCATCAAAGTCCAACCCAATTTTGTTTCTATAGCCACTAAACCTGTTCTTAGTTCTTCTCGTTTGCCAGTAAATAACTCTAACTGTTAGGGGCAGACTCGTTGCAACGTCTGCCCCTAACAGTACTTCAATAGGGCCTGGATTCCCTTGGGTATCAGTTAAGCGTATTCCTTTATTTCCTAATTCGCGAATCCAAGAACCGTATCTTATGCTTGAAATATCATTACAAATAACATCATGGTCTACAGCATCTAATTTACACGAATATTTACCATCAAGGCTACTCAAATAAATCTTGTAACATTTATGTTTATAAATTTCAGTTTTCTTTCCACCAAATAAAGAGTGACTAAATTCTTCCTCCCATTGCAAGTCAAAACCCATTTCTTCTGCAGTAGACTTTAAAACATAACTTTTTGAGCTTCCCGTATCAATCATTAATCTAACTTTACGCCTTTTATTCTTACCCTCTATGTTTACAACTAGGGTATGAAGGAAAACTTCATTCGTAGCACGCGAATGCAAGGAATCGATTGTTTTCTCTTTTTTCTCATCATTTTCCTGGTTATGCATTTCACTAGACTTATTACATTCAAGACTAGGACAAAAAAATTTCAAATGCCTTTTTGAACAAATCTGACACTTAACACTTGATCGACACTGGTTACTGAGGTGACCTTTAACCAAGCATATTCTGCATAAACCTTTCTTTTTTACCGCAGACATTTTTTCATCTAACGGAATATAAAACGCCTTTTTACAATTACGCGTTTCATGATCTTTTAAACAAAACGAACAAGAAGGTATTGCTTCATGATTCATCAAATCCGACGCGGAAGGAATATTTTTGGCTAGTTGCCAAGTGCTTACGATCAGACTTAGAAAAAATATCCGCTCTGCTTAATTTTATTTTTTCTTCTGACTGAACTTCGCTTTTCAGAAATTCAATTATTGCATCAAGAATCGAAATGTTTCGTTCAGATTCAGTAATTTTTCGTTGTCTTTCAAACGATCGCAATACGTGAATAGGAATAGCACTTTCCACAAGAGGATATAAAATTGTTCCACACTGATCAGTCGTTACACCGAGACTGCTCAGGGCTCTAAGTTGTGTTGAAAGTTTGTTATACAAACTACTCAAAAAATCCTGCTTCCTTTTCGCTGCGTTATCCCAAACAAGTTTTATTAACTCTCGAACATAAAAATCAATTAAAAGTTCTTTACGGCCCATATCTCTCAGTAAGGCTTTCTATAGCCAAAGGATAATTTTCGTTCGTCACCGGAAAAGATTCTACAATATCTCTAGCTTCTGATTTAATTTTTGTTGACTGTATCAAATAATGGAATTTGTCTGCATTCGTTAAGTTATTATTTTCATGTATGTTTTTTAAACTGATTCCAAAACGTAAGCCAATTTTTTAAATCACCTGCGAACTTATAAAGTTCTACTTTCGGTAGGCGTTGGCACAAAGTTTTTACATGTATTTTCATCAGTAACTAATTTCTGACTACTCTCTGACGATGTATTTTGGATTTCGTTTAATTTACTCTTAATATTATCGAGAAATCGTTCCGATTTTAACTGTATCCTAACAGCCTTCTCTCGATAGTCCTCTGTTATTTCAAATTCTGTTTCGAATTCTTTATCATCAGTTTATAGTATCTAAATAAGCACTGTGCGTCAATTCTAATGTTTCTGCCTTTTTCTTGAACAAATAAAAACACATTTCTGCTTCTTCATAATCAACATTATCATCATTTAAAAGATCATCTAGTCTTTTATATGCTTTTGTAAAAGCTGAACGTTGCGCAGTTTCATTTCTTTTCATCACTTCCATTTTGTCTTAAGTTTAAAATATTCAGATAAAAATTAGGCAAGAAAAATATTTTAAACTTCAGTAAAACAATAATCAATAACTTCAAAACGGAAGTATAAGGTAATCAACTTACCCTATCTATTCTTTCATCCGACATGTTTCCAACAAACACGCCCACCGGGGGCGCCAGAAATGTCGTGAACATTGTGAGTTTAAGAGAAAATAATGAGCGGTTTGTTAAAAGTTAGATCAGATGAAAGATCTTTGGTTTAATCCTAGTATCCGGTGCACACGGGGATTTGGCTACTTTTGGCGACTTTTATGATGAGCAGTAAAAACGGGACATATACGATGAGTAGTAAACGGGTATTCAAAGAATATATATAGTTATACATAGTATATACTATGTATATAGTGATAGTATATAGTGTATAGTATACTATCACTATATATACATAGACGTTCTTTTGGTAATTTTTGGTGTTGGCGATAATTTTCAAAATCGCGCCAAGGCTGCACCGTATACTAGGATTTTACCAGATCTTTTAATATATAGCATTTTAATACTATTTAGCACAGTGTAATAAGTTCATCATTTTACAGTACGCAACATCCTAAAAAATGATCGTTACAACGCAGTTCGATCATTCATCTTTTTTTAACAACAATCTCTCTCGTTGCCATTCCGTAACAGAGAAACTTACCTCTCATGGAGTTCGATAGTGGCGCGACAGCTACATTAAGTAGCTCCTACCGGTATTTTAAGTATTCTAAGCTGATCCCATTTTGAGCATGACGGAAATGAGTGTTAATGAAATGAACTCCTAAGGAGTAATCTGAAGAACGAAGAAATAAACTAATGGCACATTTGCGTAAAAAATGACTTTTGCAGAAAGAAAATAAAGTATATGGTCTGGGTGAAACAGATTGAATTAGCATTAGAAAAATAGCTCTATACTGTGGTGATATATATGGGTGAAGACACATAGTACATATCGCGACTGGTGAAAACGTCAGAATTCTGCTGAAAATTAGTGAATTGATCATTTTATCTGTAGGAGAGGGGGATCGTGGAAATTGTCTCGACGTGTTATCTTCATTCATGCAAAATTACTTAATTTTGTCGATCATTTTCTAAGATTTCCATTATAGTAGTGCGTACTGCCGTTTTAAAACTGAGGATTTAGTTAATTTGCATTGATTGAGAGTTTCTAATATCTTACTTAGACATTTACTGAATCTAGGATTTTGGAAAAGGTCGCTGATAAAATTAGTCAAATTTGCTGACATATACATGGGAGAAAAGTCATCAGGGGATGTCTTCTTGAAATTGAATTTTTTCTCCACCAAAGATGAGTAAAAGTTAATCTTGAGTTTTTGAGTTCTAAGTTTAGGATCAAATGGGCATTTTCTTGAGGTAATCAGGTGATCAGCCTTTCACGTCCTATAGAATAGTTTTGCATCTTTTGGGAGTTGACAAGTATATGTGAAGTGATTTTTGAAGCAGTTCAGACAGTACTGGAGAAAGAAGCAGCATTTGAAATAAAATCAGATGTTTCCACAGTTTCCTAGCTAGTTCTTTTTCGTAAGAATTTTTAATTAGTCTACTGGAAAGTCTGTCGTTTTAAGAGTCGGGAAAAGATTGTCTGCACGAGCTTCAAGCATACGTCAAGCATTTGTCAGGATTTTTCCGATCATTTTCAAATAAAGAATGAAAAATGTTGGTGATCAGTTACGTATATTTTCCTAAGTTTTCTACAATAGGAGCGTTGATCAGGAAATGGTAGTGAATACGGTACATATTCTTCTTAACGAAAGTAACTGAGAGCTTTTAACAGCGTGCGTCTCAATGCGACGTCAATCCTACAATAAACACTCTGAATAATTTTACGATACTCATGATTTGAAATGGCTTTACTGGAAATCAGGCAGAAATACACTTGGTTCTCAAGAAAATATTCTCCAAGTGAGCGCGACCCCAGGCTGAGAGGACAGCCTAATAAAGAATCTAAGGAATCGTCTTAATGTGATAAGAAAGAGGGTGATGAACATCCCCCGGTCGCAAAACAATGCAAGGAAATAATTGGGCAGGACTAAATTCGAGATCCGTGAAATCAACAAGTGGATCACGGCAGAGAAGCAATAATATAAGAGGTCTGGATCAGAAACGAGCAACTAGGCTAAACAGAAGAAATTTAAGCCTAAAAATGTTATGTAGAAAACCGGTAATCACCCTCAGAAGTACAATGAACAATAAGATCATCCTATACGGAAACGAAAACATTTCAATAAGACGGTGGAGGAAACGAGGCCAGAGGAAAGGGATGTGCTACTAATGCTTTAGTGAAAGTTAAACATTTCTGTGAAATGGTACTGATTCGCCTTATGAAAGCATCCTGATTCTTGTAAAATAATTTTGATTTCTGTGATGGGATTGTAGTTAAAGTGTGTTAAAATTTAGTAAAAATTTTGTTTAAATATTTTTATTATAAATGCTATTTTAAAAGGAATAAACTCTCTTGATAAACACCAGTGACTGCAGTTATTTCAGTAATCCATTACTAAAATATAAATTAAAATTATAATGTACGATTAAAGCATAAATGCAAAAACATCAGAAATAAAAGTCATATGATAACAAAAATACATAATTTAGAAAACTTTCGAGCTGCCAGTCTACGAAAATGTTATTGTGCATAACAATACGACCTTACCCGTCGCCGGAGAAGATATTAAGATAGCTCTGCTGACTGCGATCCCACGGCACGAACTTTATGCAAGTGTTATCCATGATATACTTCATTGCTTTAAGAATTTCACTTTTCAAGTGATCTGCAATGCAACAAGAGATATTGTTAGGGAAATATAATTTATATATTCATGTACATGTGCAGAAAACTTTAAAAATTCTTTAGAAGAGATACACATAATTACGTATAAATTGCTTTCATTTAGGACTCTATTATATGAAAGAATTAGAATATTTAATCTTTAAAGCGTGTATTATAGATTGAAAGATTTATTTCCATCCATATAATCATGTGAGTCAAGAGTTTTAAATGTATGCATTTTGATATGTCTCGAAGATCTCAGATGAGATAGCTACATCTGCGCACATACGTGTGTTCACGGGTATCGTTATATCACTTAGAGAACTCTAGCGACAAAAACGTGGTGATTACAGTTCCCCGTCACATTTGGCTAATTCTATTTAAGCAAATGTATCATCTTTACTATAAGAACTTACGTTCAATACTCAAATTTTTAAATTTCGACATTAAAGCTTAGGGGATCTCAGAAATTAATGTTGCCAGATTAGAAAACAATACCAGCAATATTCTGAAGAATATTTAATACTTGGCTTTACTACGTCGCGGAGAAACGCAACATTACCTTTACACCTAATTTGGGAAAACAAATTAACAGCGTTGCAGTGAATAATAATGAAAGACCGTCTAATAAGGATGTATGCAGATAAAAAAGAAAACAATTTAGAGTACATTAAAAAATTCAAAGATAAATTTGTAATGTGCTCAAAAAGGGAAATTAAATCGTTTTTGATACTATCAACATCTAAGCATTATGAAGGAGAATCCAAAGCTTCATGTAACATTTCCTATTTAATTGTAAAAGCAGGATACTCGCATAACAGTTTGTAAAAATTTATTATTGCCAGCAGTTCTAGATGTAATAACTACAGTTGCGAAAATTAATTTGCATCCAGTTTTACAAATTCCTTCGCCCAGTAAACAATATAGTTCAGTATCGTACAGATGAAACGGCAAAAACTGTTGAACAACAGTCAGTCACTAAATGGAAGATTAATAAGTCTGCCATACAAGGAAGAACAGCGTTTTCTGGCAACGTTATGGTAAGGCCTTTTATCTGTGCGCGTTATTATAGTAATGCTAAAAAAGAAATAATAGAAGAGTTCTTTTTCGCAAAACCTCCCGAAACTCGAAACATACACAAGAAAAGGAGACACATTTCTTTGCAACTTTACTTTGCAACTGCAAAACTTTTTCCAGCAATATAGCATTCGCTTACCCAACTTACCCAACTTCTTGTGACGGTGCACCAACGATGGCTAAAATCGAATCTCAAAAGTAAAATTCCCAACATTTGGAATGTTCATTATTTTTTGCACAGGTATAATTTAGTTACGAAAAAAAAATCCAGGAATAGCTTCATGCTGTCAACTAATATAAAGCCGTTTTTTGGTTCAACTGTGTGACCACAACTGTTGCAAAGTTGTTGGTTTTGTTACTTATGCTCATTTATCTGACAGTAATATCAGCCCAAGCCTACGAATATCCTCGTGGCAAGGAGCGCAAGGTACGCCTGTCTTTGGCAACAGCCTCGAGCACCATACAGGTGACAGTGCGATTTAGCTCAGTTCCGCTTCCTCCCCAATTTTGATGGAGAACACCCTGGTGGGGACTGGTCTGAGGGCCTTCGATTCCTGTCCCCTTCCATCAGACCGAACGAGAGGACTTTCAGCTCGTCGCACATCTAGAGAGCCGCTATGCCACACTGACACTATACATTTACAAACATCCATGCCTTCTCTGGGATTCGAAACCAGGCCCTTCGCGCGGCAGCCAGTGACGCTAATCACTATCCCAGTTGGGCGACACTGTTGCAAAGATGCAACAATTTGCTTCTTCAAAGGTAAATGTTTGCAGCGTGTTGAAAATAGTTTTAACACCGTGATAAAGTTTTCCTTTGAAATTGACAACCTTTTCGTTATACAATATAGAATTAATAAAATACAATATACAATGTAGTTGTATTTACTAACTATAGGAACAGTCCTATTGGTGACAACGGTAGTGCCATTTAGTAATTTAACGACGAAAACACGTGAACATAATTAACACAAAGGTAACACATAGAAAGAAATAAATAGAAAATAAGAAGAAAAACGTCAGTCCATGGCACCATGAAAACTGAATAACATCATATTAAGCGGAATCACATCATAAAGAGAATTCAGAGTCAGGGCATCATAAAAACGGAATAACATCATAAGAAGAGTTCACAGTCCTTCGCTTTCGAACGTCATTGTTGCTTCCGTTTTTCATCTCTCGTCTGGCGTTTCCGCGAGAGGTGCTCATGTGATCTTGCTGGTAAGCACGTTGCCATTCTTAGATGTAAAAAGAAGCTTTGTACTCACACGGCCATTCTGCAGCACCATACGGCCAGGGCTGGCTGACAAGATAAGAGGAGACTGGTTGAAGAAGACAAGAAATCTGAATAGGAGAGAAAAATAAGGAAAAAATCAATGTCTTGGTGCCGAATTTTGAGTTTGTGCACCACCATTTCATCTTATCAGCAGAGGTTGACGTTACGGTAGGGCTTTCATGTAGTCCTATCTTTCGCATTTCGATCAGATGGATAAACGTTCGTTATCTCATAAGGACCGAAGAATTTACGACGAAGTTTCAGTCCAGGTCCAAACTGGGTGCGTTGTAATTCCACTTGGTCTCCGAGGTTGTATCTACAAGCAGGTTTATGACGTTTTTTATACTGTCGTATTTTATACTGTCGCTTAGCTTGAATACGTAACGCGTCTTTCTCGTCGAGTCCATTGTTGGTGATTCTCATCAAGTCTTCTTCGTTTTATGCTTCCAGGCACTTTTCTTGCCTTTCTTCGAGCGTGAAGCAGATAAAGAATATGAAACAGCAATTTTTTTTCTGAGCTATTTTAGCATTCTTTGTTGCCGCAAAAGCTTCAACTGCATCTTTTTCATGTATATAACTTACGGTAGCATTTCGATACATAGATGATAAATTCAGATATATCTGGTATGCTTTCTGAAAAAATTCAACAATTTGAGAAATTGTAGTGTCGACTGGAAAGCCAGAGACAAATAATTTACTTCGATTATGTTTCTTTTCTTCCTGTTCCTTTGCTGCTTCTGGTCTATTTTTTCGTTTCACAGCAGCAAAATCTGCAGGAAGTAAGAAGAAATCTACTGTAAATAAGAAGAAAAAAGACAGTTCATGGCATCATGAAAATAGAATCACACTATAAGGAGAATTCAGAGTCATGGCATCATAAAAACGGAATGACGTCATAAGAAAAGTTCACAGTCCTTCGCTTTCGAACTTCATTACTGCTTTTGTTTTTCATCTCTCGTTTGGCGTCTCCGCGAGAGGTGGTCACGTGATCCTACTGGTAAGCGCGTTGCCATTCTTAGATGTAAAAAGAAGCTTTATACTCACGTATATTCGTTGTTCAGTATTAGGTAAAACAAACGGCAAGGAAGTGATATCAAGTCATCAGAGCTAGAATAATTATTTCGGTTTTCATTTTAGAATTGACTTGTTTATATCGACACTGAATCGAAAATTAATTACATATGTGAGAACATGTCTTTCATAACTTAATGCGATTGTTCATTTTTAATAAAGATTGTATTTACCTATAAATTATGTGAAGATACCTTGCAAAGTTTAAAAGATTATTTTAGTCTTCGTTTCCAAAAGATTCAAAATTTGAATGTGCAAACATGGCTCATAGATGTGCTGAATTGCGATAAACCTAATCTTGATACTATGACGCAAGATGCATTAAAAAAGTACCTTCAAAAACAATTCTGATTCAGAACACATGGGTACGCTAAATTTTTTAATTTGAAAGCCATCCGAGAAAAGTGTCCCGAAATATAAAGTTGTTACCGAACCAATGCTTTTGACTCTTCTTGCATAGGCGAAGCAAGCTTAAATTAAGTCAATAATTTACTACCGAAAACAAGTACCAGGTTGGGTATTTTTAAAAGAGAAGATTTAAGAGTTAACTTAAGCAATTTATGCCAAACATCGAAAACATAGCATCTTTAGATTAAGACCAGCCGTTTCCGCATTTTTTTTTCTCTATTGAAGACATACGGGTTGCAAATGCGATGTCGATCCACATTCAAAACATCGGAGCGGTTCCCGTTTCTCAGATTCTTTCGCTTTATCTTCAGCATCTACTTATACGGTTATTCGATAGTTTCTTCGGTAACCCTTGATCTTCTCTTTCGCTTTCTAGGCTCTTTCACAACCTATAAATCCCTTTTAGTAGGAAATACTTTTGTATCGAAATCCTGCTTCAAAGTTTCGAAGTTATCTATCTCCTCCGCTAACACGAGCTGTAATTTAGTTTTCCTTCCATCATCTACGTATTTCTCTCTACCTTCACCACAGGGTGGATCTTCATCTGATCTGCTACCATTAGTTCTTTTAGCTCAACAGAAGTCTAATTTCTAACAGTTTCATCCATCCGTCAAAACAAGTCTGCAATTTATAAATAAAATACATAAAATCATTACCTATTCTTCGGCTTCTTTGTATGATCTACAAATTTTAGCACTTAAATGGTAACTAAAGTTTTCTGTATTTAAATGGTAAGGATCCAACAAAAATGCTTAGATTTGTACCTATTCTAGGGTTTCTTGCGGTGTTTCACAATTTATTATCTGCCCTATTTCTATTAGCAAAATAGTCATAATTTGGATCGACCATTCGGTTTCTGATAAAGCCGTAGATTCAGCTTGATGCTCAAAAAGGGCTAAATGCAAGCTAATATCAGTTACATCGACATGTAACTTTGACATTAGTCTTTTCATTTCAAGCATATTTCGCTGAAAACGAACATCTGACAAACTGGAAGTAGATTTCCTTTCGCTATTTCGGGCTGTAATTCTTAACCTCTCTATCTCAAACTGTCTTTCTCTTTCCTCCCTCTGTCTCTCAATAACAGTAAATAAAGGCCCCTAACTTTTCCTTCTACATAACCTTCACTATTTAGAATTACATAGCTTTCTCATTCTTTAGTCTATATTAAAACTGAAATCCTTAGCTAATTGCAACAGCTCCTTGCTCTTGCCTTTTTGGTAAATATGTCGTTTTCTTATTTCATTTTGTAGAGTCATTTTAGTGTACTCATATGAGCGTTTGTCTTCTTTAACATGGGAACCACACTTCACTGCAGGAACATCCGTCGCTACTCCGTTAAACAGCTGCTGATCTGGCGGTCTTTCTGATACTGGCGTACTTTCAGTGTCGAATTCTTTCTGGCTCTGTCGGGCTCTTAGCGGCTAATTTTTAAGTGGTTTCTTGAAGCTTTGGTGTTGCCGTATATCAAATACAGGATTTATATCAATCCTTGATTTAAATGTATCATCAAGGATTTACATCATGCTGTATATCAAATACAGTATTTACATTTACATCATTCATTACACATTTTTAAGTACATTGCGTATGAAAATATCTTTATACAGATTTCAGCTGGTTAGCGAGACCCATAACCCTACCGCTGCCACCACTTATATAAGTTTGTAATATCACAGATAATTTACAAATCAGACAAGGCATGAAAACCTTTATTTATAGACTGAAATGCGAAAAACTATATCAATAAATAAATATAGAATTATTATCCCTCTGGTCGTCTCTCGCTTTCACACGCAGCTCTCAGGAATCGGTTTCCACGAGAAGAGTAGCTTTTTTAAGTCAAAAATTTCCACTTCGATGAGCTTGTCCCTTTTATGTTCGCGGCGCAATGGGATGAGAACATGCTAAGCTCGTGACTTTAACTAGACGCTTTGACTCGTCTCTGAGCTCCCATTGGAGCAGGCTTGGATGGAACGAACATTCTTGAAAGTCCACCACATGGTCTGGCTTTAACGGCGTGGAAAGTTAAAGCCTAATTGCCCATACGCATGTAGAACTTATTACGCGATATTAGCTTCCTGTAAAAATCACTGTCTTTAGAGTATACGTTAGTGAATTAACTGCAACATTAGTCCACAAATAGTTTTTTCACTGGCATAAATATTAAAACTTTAATTGAAATCTTGTTATATTTACCAAGTCCTTTGTGTATCTTGTAAGGAATAACTCCATTTGGCCATCTTTGAGAATCCTTGGGAACAGCATTACGCTTCTACAAAATCAAAAACAATGTTTTGGATCTTCACAGTTGGCCAATAGACTACGAATAAGTAAATATTAGGGAGAAGAAAAAATAGCTTAAGTAGACCATTGAGAAAATATTTAATCAGGTGACAGAGCAATCTTGAGTTAAGAGCATCAGTATTATAAACTTTTATATCTATATCGAAAATGTTGCTTAGAATGTATATTTTAATTATTTTAAATTTTTAAATTCTAATTAATTTTTTTAAGGAACTGATTTTGTTTGCTTGAAAAATACTTTGGAAATGTGTGGAGGGAAAACAGATTTGTAATAATAAGCTGTTGCAATTCAGCCCCTTAATTCGAAACAATACTAAAATTTCAATCTCTGCTTAATGAATGGAAACCAAAGCTCTCAATTTAAGACATCTCTAAAACGTAGTGGATAAGACTGATATAATTAACCTATCTATCGCTTTTAAATAATGTTATATTTTATCAGGTTCAATGTTCCTTCTAACCTTCTTCGGGAACATACAAGGACCTGACTAGGAACAGAGAGCTTACTAAAGCTATGTTCACTAATTGTAGTAAGTAGACAGGATACAGACGAAGGGTATACAAAACCCTTTATTTTTCTCTATATACAATAACTTCCGTACTTCGGAATACAATGACCCGCCACTCGGGGTCTAACGTAAAAGTATAAAAATAAAACTAAACTCTAATTTAACTTTAGAATAATACACGTGGAAGATGGCCTATAATAACAGGAAGCGTATGTAGCACAGAGACTGTGAACACTACAATACGTTTAATTAATCAAGAGGATTAAAACCTCTGGCCTGGAAGGCAAATAGCAACTGCGTAACTTCTAAGGTAAGCGGCCTGCTTCGAACTCACTGCTTCCTCTCTCTCTTGCTTCGCAAAAAGCCACAACTTAAGTACTTGGCGTTCGCCAGACAAACTTTGCATAAAATCCTTCACGCTTATAATTCTGGCCGGAAGTAGAAAATAAGAAGTGATAGTAAAGATTTAAAATAAAATAAACGTTAGTAAAACTTAAGATCCTTACATACTTCCCGCCAGAGTTAATTAGTTTGAAACTGAGGTCTAAAACGACCTTGTTGAAAACTTTTAGCTCTAGAATCTAACGCGAGGCCCACCTTTTACAAACATAACTTAGCTAGAAACTAGAAATTTAAAAGAAAGAAATTTGTTACAATAGCAGCTCCCAGGATATACAACAATCTTTTTTTTCATCTGTACTGCATCTAAACCAGGAGCTTTTTATCAATTCAATCTGGTTCCTTCCAGAGATCTGGAAGGAAAACTAGTTTAATGAAATGTTACACAATGACATGGCAAGTAACATATAGAATTATACTTGCTCTTAACATTCTTATTTCATTCATGACTATTTTTAATTATCTCTCCCCGTGCTCTCTGACATGTGTTTGTAAAGAAACAAAACCAAACACGAATGTGTTTCTGTCTACGTGTGCCACACTTCCTCCTACAATCAAAACACTAACGTGTTAAAATTCAACATAACGAGACCTCTTAACACACCCCTACTTTCAACTCTAAACCCTGAGGTACTATTCTAAAAGTGGCTAACTCTAAAGTGTAGCGTCAGAGAGCCTAACTACATCATTCAACCTTTACCACACATATTCGCCATGATTTAATCTTTACAGTCACACGAATAACAAATTTTTAACATTACTTTCACTTTTACCATATCACGGTATTTCTTAACATTTAAAATAACAGTTCACATGTATATAAGAACATATCAACATGCCGTTAATTTTACACATTTGAAAACATACATTAGTAGTACATTGTTAACTTCTATTCTTTTCAAAGCAAGTGCCAATTCTTTCTACATTGAAATAATACTACATTTCAAAAAGTCTTTCAGACTAAAACTTCTTTCTTGCTAGAATGTTTTAAATAAAATTTATACAATAACTTTTTACAATATTTAAGTCTTTACACAACGCTATTATACATCAACTTTAGTTTTACGCGCGAGTAATTGAAAAACATAATACGAAAATCGGTCACAACTCATTTCTCGCCCTTTTGGCGATAAAGGTAGACCTCGCATGAGGTAAAACTTCTTGAAATCTGCCACTTGCAGTAAGAATGAAAGATTAACTTAAGTTTGCAAAGTAACATAAAATTTTACTTATCTTTGTAATATTCGGACATCCTTTTCTGGGCCCAGTCTTTAAAGGTACTGCAGATAGTAGCTTGGTTTATCCTCCTTCTTGTACGGGCTCGCCCTTCAGTGCTTTCCTCTGGAAGCTTCCTTTTTTCACCAGTACGGCCACCCTTGAATACTTCCTTTTCTTTTCTCCTCTGCTTGTGGTCTTTGCCGTTTGATGGCAGCTGGTCTTGGCGGAACCGGGAAACTTCTGTCGTGATCCTGCTTGGACCTCGTTGTTGGCCGTTCAAATTTTTCTTGTACTTTTTCCTCCGCCGCTGATGGCCCTTCCGCAGTTCGGCGACTTTTGCTGCGGAGAGTTCTGTCGGATGAGTAGATCTTCCGTTTTAAAGCCGGGTTATAGTTTTGCCGTCATTTTCTCCTGGTCCTCTTCACATACGTCGTCCTTCTCTCCCTTCTTCATTCTGGGGGTGTTCGTGAACTCTGTTTTCTGGACGGTGGAACGGCTTCTTCTTTTTCTTGTTTACCTTCAATTTTTCCGCGGGGCAATTTTCTTTTCACTTGCTTCTGTCTCTCATTGGCTTGCCCTTGTACTTGTCGTTTTTCCCACCTCTGGAACTTGTACCTGCGGTGTCTGCCGTGCCGGATCCTGCAAAAGATCTGAAAAGATTTGCATTTTATTACGATCGAAGTAGGGCTTGATTTGATCAATGTTTGCGGAACAGGTTTCACCATTTCTGGCTTTTAACACTACAACAGCGTGAGTTATTTTTTTTTCTATAACATATGGTCCTTCAAATCGTGGAAAAAAATTTGGCAGTTTTATCTTCTGGTGCTGAAGAAAGTGAATGCTTAATTTTTAAAACTTCATCCCCCTACTTTATAAGTTACTCCCCGTCGTTTTCAAATCATAATATAACTTCTGTTTTCTTTGTGCTACTTCCGTATTCTTTTTTGCTTCTTTTATTAGTTTTTCTATATCACCCATTTTAAATTCTGGGGCTCTTTGTTGCACATAAAATAATTTATCTAACGGTGTTATAATCTTTCTGCCTAGAAATAACTCAGCAGGAGTTTTTGCCCGTTGTATCATGTTTTGCGGTCCTAAGGGCGAAAGCAAATTCATTGACATAGTTATCCCAGCTTTTATGAAAATTTTTAACATAACTACGGATAATTTTCACTATATTTCTGTTGACCCGTTCCGCTATATTTGATTGCGGCCGATACGGGACCATTTTTAAATGACGTATGCCCAGTTTTTGGCACATGTCTTCAAATATATTACTTACAAATTGAGGACCATTATCCGATATAACTTTTAGGGGCGCCCCGTATTTTAAAATATATTTATTTAAAATAGAATCAGTAACTAATTTCGCGGAGGCTCGTTTTAAGGGAACAATTTCGGTCCATTTACTAAAATGATCAACCATAACAAGGAGATAGCGACTTTTATTTAACTGACTTTTTGGGAAAGGGCCCAATAAATCGATGCCAATTATTTCATTTGGAAATTCGGATTTAATACTATTTAGAAACCCGGCCGGGCGGAAATTAATATAATTAACGGCTTACTTTTAACATACTACATGTTGGGCAGGACTGGACATACGCCCTTGTTAACTTTTGCAGTTCAGGAAAGTAGACTGCTTTCGCGTACGCGTTGGATAGATTTTTTCGAATACCAGCATGAGAAGCTAAAGGGCTGTCATGGAGCTCCTGCAGGATATTTAATCTAAGACTAGCTGGGATAACAGGTCGAAATTCGTTGTTGGAATTCGTAGTTTTTGTATAAAATAATATACCATCTATTAGTTCGTAATGGGCCGCCCTATTTCTTATCGCCACAATATCTTGGTGGCTAAAATTTCCAGGATCCTTCAAATACTCATAAATACTTCCAAACTCAGGATCCTTACCCAGTTCGGTTATTACAGTTTCTCGGGAATTTATTGTACACGCTGTCAGCATTGCCATCTTTAAGGTATTGCCTTGTTCGTCTATTTTAATCCTTGATAGGGCATCTGCTACGATATTTTCCTTTCCAAGGGTATGCTTGATTACCAGATTATATTCTTGCAGCTTGAGTGCCCATCTTATTAACCTTGGGGATAAGGTTTTCCCTGAGTACAATCTAGTTACCGCCGCATGATCAGAGTATACTGTTATCGGCGCCTTTCCAAAATAGACTCGGAACTTTTGCACTGCTAACAGAACTGCAAGTGCCTCTCTCTCGGTCGCGGAATAGTTTCTTTGTGTTTGATTTAAAGTTCGGCTAAAAAATGCCACGGGCTGCTGATTTTGCGAAAGTACCGCTCCTACTCCTACCGCATAATCCGAAGCATCCGCTGAAATTTCTAAATTTTCATCCTTTTCAGGAATTTTAACACAGGGGCTTGCGTTAATGCTTGTTTTAATTTTTCGAAAGCACTATTGGCTTCGGTCGGCCGTCCACGAGAATCTTGCCTTTTTCCTTTTTAATTTTAACAATGGCTCAGCGATAGCCGCAAAATCTTTATAAAAGGACCTATAATATGAACAAAGTCCTAGAAAAGAAGAGAGCTTCTTTGCCGTGTTTGGAGTCGGATACTTTTTGTACAGCGATTATTTTTGATTCATCTGTCTCGATCCCTTTTTGCGATATTTTGTAACCTAAATATTTTAATTCAGGGGCTGCAAATTTGCACTTTTCGACATTAACTTTTAGACCGGCCTCATTTAATAAGAAAATACCTGTCTTAAATCCTGTACATGCTGTCTAGATTATCACTAGTAATAATGATATCGTCTAAATAGATAAATGTGGACTTTCAAGAACAGGTCTTAACACAATGTCCATGCATCGCTGA